GGCCGGCCAAGTCGTCTGTTGCACTCCCGGTGGACGGCAGCGTGATCTACAGCAACCACGAGGCTTGCAGGTGCGCATTAATACCATGAGAGCGCCATACTCGTGTTTCATCTTGGAGTGCGACCATTAGGGCTATTACCTCGAAGGGCGGCCAAAGAACGCCCAATTCACTGCATGGAAACTGGCAGGAAACTTTGGAGGGGAAAGCTTTCCTGACAAGACACGTAAAATATTGAATGAAGGTGAGTGAGCACGAATCTCCAAATCAGGGTATGGATGCACGAACTCATAGTTTCCAGGTGGATTGTATGCTGAGGTGAAAAGGTCATTATGTAAAAGGCGTCCAGACCTCTGATCCACGTATGAAGAGAATGGGATGGCACCTCCCCAATTTCGATGATTTGGCATGGGAAACACGTACGCCTTTTCAAGGACTCACGAACCCTGGGGTAAGTGTTGATACGAGAGTTTACATTGGGATCACGTTGGTTCTGACTTTAGTGCACTGTATTCTGCAGGTGGGATTCTTCCGCACAACGTTCAATCTTAACTTGCCTAAAGATCATGATATCCCGCTATCCATCGTATTCGATCCACAAGCTGGACATTATCGGGGTGTGTAGAGGTTTCCCCAGCTTTAATCCTTGTTCATTACGTGTCCTCTGAACCATATCAGCCCAGCTCTACGTGAACGGCTGGCAGCTCGGAAAGCGTGTGGCAAACATTGGTCCGCAGACCTCCTTTGTCGTGCATCAAGGCATTCTCAACTACGCCGGCCCCAATGTCGTTGCTGTTAGTCTATGGAGCCTTGGAAAAGAAGCCCAGGATCTAAAGATCCCCAGTTTGAAGCTGGTAGCAAACGCGGTATACAAAGGCGGTGTGGATGGGATAGAAGTGAATAATCCTGGTTGGGGCACCTTGCGCCACTAGTAGCATGTATTATGGACCATGACTAAAAACCTGCAGATGGGCACCAAGTTTTCATGGATATCCACTCTGTTCATGCGTTCAGAAGAGTGGAAAGCGCTCCTTGAATAAGTCCTCGCCCCAGGAAGTAGTGCACCATGTCTCTCGCAACCGAAGAGATGCGACATGATGTTCGAACATGTATGTCGATTGACTCAGAGTTCCCTCGGCATAGAATCCACAAAATCTAGCGTATGAAGGCGAAGACACTGTCGCATGGAAAACTTGCATGGGAATTCTGTCCTTGCCGCTGTAGAGTTCCTTCATGATCATGCCTGCGTCCTTCATCATAGTGATGTGCTCTTCAATGTCCTCGCCGGGGAGAATGACCTTGACGTCCCTGCGCGCACCGTACATGCTAATGGAGTGTCCAGTGGACAACGATGGGTGGGGACACCGGATAGGACAAGGGGAAGAGGTAAGCCTTAAGCCGCCACGATTAACGAAGGGCAGGAAACGCTTGAGGAGATGGAGACAGGAAACGTGAAAGGCAGTTGAAGCGACTTCTTATGATTTAACTTCATTTAAGTGCAGCAGTTGTTTGCATTTGCGGGTGCTTGCATGTTGGACGCGAAGAAGGGCAAAAATAAAATGAGTCGACCCAGGTTCGAACTGAGGACCTTCTGTGTTGTGTTTTGTTAGACAGATGCGATAACCAGCTACGCCATCGACCCTGTATTGAGGATTTTAACATCATCAATCCCATGAATGTACAACCCGAACGCCCAGGCTAAATATCAGATTACCAGTTCGAAGAGTCCCTCCATCCTTGATCTAGCTGGACCTCGCCCCCTTCAATGTACAGTCCTGGGCCATGGTCCACTGATTACTGATTTGCCTTTGTCATAATCACCCTACTCCTCATGAAGCGCCCCATCGAGCCTTCTTCAATCGAGTGACCATTATTGTCGCAGACCACTGCGTTCTCCAGAGCTATGTCAAAGTCGCAGCGCAGTGATTGCAGGGGGGCGTCCTGCGTGCACACGAAAAGACAGCTTTCGTCCTCAATGCTTTGCGCGTCAAGCACCAAGAAGCAGTGGGGCATGAACCCTTTCCGTTCGGGCTGGGTGATATTGGCATCGAACCAAACCCTGATCTCCTACACAGTATGCCCGACAAAGGCAGTGGGAGATGAGTCAACAGGAAGAGAGGATCCTTTCGAGATACTTGAGATCTCTTTGGTGTTCATGATCACGATGTCCTCGGATATGTCTAGCTCGTCGCCTTCAAACTCTTGCATATATTCTGCGGAGCATTCCAAGAGAAGGTTTAACGTCTAAGAGAAAGTTAGCACGAACATGAAACTCGCCGAGATCGGTGAACGGTTACAGAGGCAGGGATATCTGCTATGCAGAATACTGGGCATCTTGTACAATAGTCGTTCTGGTTCCGATAGTTCCAAATCATAACGTCGACAGGTGTCGAAGATGGCGATGTATCGATCTATCTCTTTATAGGACTCGGGATCAAACTCAACTCCGAGCCTCGCGATGATCACGGAACAGAATGTTCAGGATTTGTTCAGGATCGTCAACAAACCTTTTCTCGCAAGGAAAAATTCATCTGATTCCAACAGCCTCAACTGAGCACTAAGCAGCTGTAAGGTCTCTTGAGATGAGTCTCCCAATTTGAGGCAAGGGCGTCATGTGAAACGCGAACGAGGGAAGGTGCAAGCCTCGGAAGTCGACGCGTTTGTCAACGCGGGAGGGCGCCTTGGCATGTGGGTGCCTCATTTGCCCATAGATCGACGACACCGACCGAATAGTCAAGAAGACGACTTCCCTTCAGTCATCTACGAGTCGATGCGCTGACGCAAATCTATCTAGATAGCTAGATAGCCCACAGTCCCCAAAAGATGGAATCCATGAAATCGGGGGTATGAAGACGAAAGACATTGTCGCATTCTGACTAGACCCTTTTTAGAGTTACCTCTCGATCTCACAGATTTGCTAATGTATAGCCAAGTCCGAGCCATTTAGATCTGAGACATGGGTGATCGACCTATTGCTATTCCTTGTCTTCACCGTCCTCCTGAATCTAAGCAATTACAGGTAAGCTCACATTGTCTGTTGCAAGTAGAACCGATGCTGAGTTGAGAAAAAGAGATGACATGGGACCCTGAAATATCAGAACAGTTCAATCGCGTCGACAGCGCCGCCACCAATGAAAGCAGATACAACGCCCCCTATAATTCACTCTTGACACACCTCTTCCCAATCCACGAGGGATACCGTGTTTCTCCGACTCCTGTCCTCCACGGTTCTGCGAATCCTACCGTGGTCTTCGTGGTTAGGAAGGAGGACCATCCCGTGTTCATCCTCGACGTTAAACCCGGTTCGGACACTAGAGACGTCGGCTCGCGCGCCGCGGCTGACCACGAAATGCGCGAGAAGTTTGAGCGCCTCGTCTCCGAGCTCAAGATACCAAAGCTGTATGGCCTTAACGCTATGGGCCCGCGATTCGCGGTGTATGAGTTCACGGCGAATACGGGCGTCCTGGATCCGGAACCGCAGGCGATGGCACGCCATTCGAGGTTGGATATTGGCGACGACATCGCGCCGGCTTCTAGGTGGGACTATAACCTGCTGGAATCAGAGGGCGAGGAGAAGATGAGGGAAGTGGTGAAGAAGGTGAAAGATATGTGCCAGGAGACGGGGTTTGGGGTATCGTCGGTGACAGGTCGTCTGCGTGGGTTGCTTCGTAATCTAGGAATTGGAACCAGAGAGTAGCCCCCATTGCGCTTTGTTGTTGGATAGGGCGATGTACCATCCATTCGAAGTTATGCCAAATCGGGAGTGGCTAAGCACTTGGACGGTGGACAAGATGGGTGCGAGTGTGAGTGAGAAGCTGAAAAAACCTATGTTGTGGATTGATTGTGGCGCAGGGGCCAGGGGTACTTCAAAAGTTCGATGTTCACGGACCGGGACTAAGGCTCCAACCGTACTGTATCCGTATACAACCAAGGGCCTAGATATACGGATACAGTTATTTAGTGTGTATATACAGTATATATATGGTTATACGGTATGATGTAGACAGTTGTTATAGGGTCAGATCGAGCCATGCTTTCCGACCGGAACCTTGGGCTCGTTGACATCAAATAACCCCGACCGAATCCATACCTTCGACAACAGATCTTGACTGATTGTCTCGGCCTTCCAGGGGCTGCTGAGATCCGCAGAGATGCAGTGTGTCGTAATTTTGAGAAGGTGCGCTCGACGGATACAGTTGTTGCTGGTATGGCCAAAAAGTCTCGTAAAACTACCTCAAAATTTTGAGCAATAAATTATTATGCGGTGGACGACCCAAGGACGACCGATCTTCAATCAACCTGGACATGTAAGTTCGAAATTGCTTGCTTATGAAAGGGACACGTTCCCTGCATTGTCCAGTGTCTGACCTGACAGTCTAAAAGGCTCTGCTCACAAAGAATGAGACTTGTCACTGAGATATGTCAGAAGAACGCGCACAACGTGTTACAATTTTGGAGTAGCTCGCTGTGGACGATCTAAAAATAGGCCAAGCCCGATCCGAGAGGTGTTTTTGGTTACGCCTTGTCCAAAAACACCCCTCGTTCTCTCGTCATTTGCTGACACCTCCTCGATTGCGACCTATCACTGCGAAATCAACCTAGGCCCCAGGAAAGCCACTGATTTACTGTACGGGAAAAATTAACAGTATAACCATATGCTATACTATATATCTACTGTATAGGACAATTTCTCGAACAGGCCTATACATATACGTAAACATATACGGTATCTACTGTATATATATGGTAAATAGATAGTATGGTTGGAGCCTTAACCGGGACGTGACGACGTCGGATATTCGCGAAACAGTTGAAGAGCAAAAGATAAAAAAATGAGTCGACCCAGGCTCGAACTGAGGACCTTCTGTGTACAGCTCACAATTTCGAATGTAAGACAGATGCGATAACCGACTACGCCATCGACCCTTGAGTGCATGTCGGTATGACAGATTTTCGGTGCTAAGGGGAGGGAGAGATGAGAAGAGAAGAGGGAGGCAAAAGATGAGTCGACCCAGGTTCGAACTGAGGACCTTCTGTGACCAACAACCCCCAAATATAGAGGACCATGTTAGACAGATGCGATAACCAGCTACGCCATCGACCCATGCATCGTGAACCTGAACAGATGGTCGTCTCGGAACTGACCTGTGCGGTTCTTGCAGGTATCGCTGATAACGCTGGTTCGCACGATGGTAGGATGAAAGCAAGGGTATTCGATGGAGAAGCTTATTATTAGGGAAATCCGCGGTGATTATGTATATCTAGTCCGTCGGTGGGCTCCCAGGAGCTCACCGAGTAGCTCTCAGCCAGTTCACACTTTATGACAGAACCAATCTCAACTGCGATGTGCGGCACCCAGCTTAAGAGGTAAGTACAGGTATCAACGATCCATAGCATTAGATGCGAACGAGCACGCCCATGTAAAGGACCTGGCAAATGGCTTCGAGGAAGAGGAATATGATGCGCCGGCGCCGTGCGGCGGAGGTGAGGGTCGCGGTGCTTGTGGGGTTCGGATTGGAGACGAGTTGCACAGCGGGGTCGGGAAGGACGACGGAACGTAGAGAGCGGAGCTATGAGATGCAGAAGTGAGCAGGAAGGAAGGTGAGATGGGCAAACGGTAAACATACGAGGAAGAAGGCATTCGCGAGGAAAGCGTAGATGAACAGGAATGTCTTGAGTATGGGCATGTTCAGTCCGGGCAAGCGGGAGAGGAAGTTTGGTAGAAGAGCAAATATCACGCTGGGATGTAGGTTAGGAAGGTGAAGGGAAGGGTTAGAGATGAGAAAGACGTACCCAACGAATTTGTAACCACCGTATGCGATGAGGTCAACGACCTGACTCGAGTCCTGTACGTTGAGGAAGTAGCACCCGAGTTTAACGAATGCGAAGTCGAGAATAATAACAGCAAGTCCGCGCGAAGCGGCGTCGCCCAATACTTTTGTATGGGACTGCTTCTGGAGACCTGCATGGAGGGCACAAAGGAGAATATAGGTGACGAGAGCCATGAGGGGAATGTAGAGATCGGGGCTATTGATGTCCTCGCGAGGGCTCGCCCATTCTGCTGCCTGTCCCGAGTCGGAGCGGCGGACTTTGCGACGCCAGGCCTGGGGCTTCTGCAACCAGGGGAAGAGGACGAGCCTGATTTTGTTGATGACGTATGAGTTGGATACGTTGAAATGGTGCTTGAGATTGGTGGAGGGGAAGATGGTGCCAAAGTTTCGCTGGACGTACTCCTGGCCTGCGGCGACGGCGGTGTGGCCGAGCTGCATGCCGAATTGAGCAGTCGCGTCGTTCATGCCCCAGGCTGCGAAGTCGGGCTGGGGGATGGAGGGCCCGTTTGAGGGAGGGTGGGCATGTTGCTGGTGATGCTGGAGGTGTGGGGCGAGAGGGGGCTGGGAGTGCTGGAAGGGGGAGGTGTAAGCGGGGACGTGGTGGGTTTGGTAGGGGTTCTGCTGAGGGGCGGGCCCTGGCGAGGAGGAGAATCGCTGGTAGCCTTGGGGCGAGTTTGGGGTCGGGGGTGGCTCGGGGATGTAGGCAGGGTGCGTGGGCACCGGATGGCGCAGTGGAGGAGGAGAGTGCGACATGGCAGGAGCAGAGGAACACGTATTAGCTAATCATGTTGCGGTCGTCGTAATCACGGCCCCTCCGACTTGCAACTTGCCTCCGACGGTCTCAAATGCCTATACTTACGAGCCTGGACTCTCTTCTGGGCCTAAATTTGCCTCAGCGGTGCCGCTATTTTACTAACGGTGATCTGAATGATCAGGTCATTCTTCGCTTGCTCAACCTGTGTCCATTTCAAATGCCCACAACATAATTGACATCGAGCTAGCTAATCGTCTCCTGATGATCAGACACTATCAGACAAAGTACCGGCTGGGTGTTCTAGCCTGTCATCTCGTTCTCTTCTGCCCTGCTCGTGCTTTAGTTGGTGGCTTGCGACTAGATTTTCTTGTCCCTGGCCTGGGACTAGACTTCCTTTTTGGTGCTTTAGCTGGTTTGGAACCAGAAGCACGCGCTGGAGGGGTCCAAGGGCGGCTATAAGGAGCGGGGCGTGCTGGCGCATGCCGAGCGGGGCCTACTGACGCATGCCGAGCGGGGCGTACTGGCGCATGCCAAGCGGGGCGTACTGGCGCATGACTCGTCGTATGTGTCTCCATGCGGCCAGGAGCTTCGTGCGCATGTCCTGAGCCTTTGCCCTTCTTTGCAGGACCAAAATTTTTCTCGAATTTGGCAAGGTTCGCAGCAACCTTTGCCTTCTTTTCGTTGACTTGCTTCATGTGATGCTCGAGATTCTGAGGGCGGGGGGGCTGTCTTTGCTCGGCGCCCGGTAGATGACCAGGAGCACCTGCGTGTGAAGGGCCCCGCTCTGCTTCAGGGTCTAAGGGACGCCAAATATGACCTGCAGGTAACACTCGTCCTGGTCGGAAGTTGTTTGGGGCTTTCATGGGCTTCTTCGAGCCTTTCGGAAGTTCAACGAATTTATCGGGAAGCGGCTTCGCCACAAACGCGTTGGAGTCGAAGAATTTCTTGGTTTCCAGACGCCCAGGTGCTTCGTGACCCCGCCGTTGATCAGGATGGAGAGGAAGCCATCCGGGATTGGGTCGTAGTTGCCCTTTGCCGCCCCGGCCCAGCTTCTTGATCTTACTCTGGAACGGACGGGCCTGGGCACCCTCCATGTCTATCACAGAAGGAATATTAGCACTCTGTCAAGCGAAATGGGCATCTGAATCCTCACCAGACTCGTGTTTGTCAACATACTCGACAGTGGTAGAAGTGGAATGGTCCGGGTTGAGCAACATGGCGGGCATTTTCTCGTCCCTTGCCCTGTCAGCTCCAGTGACTGGATGGGGCCCTGCCAATGGAATGTTGTGCAGTGCAGCATCCCGGTTCGCCGCAATCTTTTTCGTGAGGGACATTGGATTACGATTCTTGGGAAACTCCTTCTGATTTCTCTGAAGATGTCCCATATGTTCAGGGAACGTGTCATCACCATAAAACAACGTCACAATACGCGCGCCGTGGTCGATGTGTTGACCGGTGCGCCCAGGCAGCGGTACAGTGGGGTCATGCTCGGGAGTGGGAGTATTCGGCCGATTTGAAGGAGGACTGCCGGCGCGACCGTTCCCCTTGTCCACGGGCTTGCCATCGCTGCCCGTTGGAATTGGAGTGGCAGCACCAAAGGAAACCAGGAAACAGAAAAGCGCTAAGAGAGCGTAATGCCTCATCGTCACAGACGATTCAAAGATCGGGGGTGGGACAATATGTGGAAAAGAGGGTATCGACCAGCGATACCGACTTGAGAGAGCAGACGATGAAAGGCGAAGTGCGATTGAGGCAATTGCTTCATCTCAGAGGCATTTTATAGATCAGACCAGCGTTCGGCCAAGACGTACTGGACTCACTGAAATGAAGACGGCGGGCCTCGGTCGAGGAGTTGAACAGGATATCATGATGTAGTCCCTCCTGAACACACACCATCGCGGCACTTGCACGCAATATCTACGGAGGGGCTTGCATTGATGCATTCCTAACACTGCTGGTTGCCAGACCCTGTAGTCCAGCCATCGATACGTGTCCACATCGACCCATTGCAGGAGAAAGGCTGCGGGCTTGGTCGGGGATTCTGAACAGGCTATCATGATGTGGTCTCTCTTGGACACACACCGTCACCATACTTGCACCCACAGTCTGTCCTTCAGAAGTGATGGACGTCGAAGCCCGTTCGCCCACTGGAAGTTGTGATTATCGGCCCGAGACGAAGATGTACAACACTTAGATAGATAGCTTGCCGGTACTTGATTATATAGGGAAACTCGGACCCTTGCGTTTAGCGATTGTAGCATGCCAGTAATATACTACTAAGTACCACTACTACAGAGAAGCCGACACTGATGCAATCTTTGGCTGCTGTTGGTTGTCAAACGGCTCGATCTAAACATGCACCTGTGTCAGCCCATCCACCCACAGATGATAGAAGGAAAGTCGTCTCCGTTATTCGGTCGGTGTCATTGATCTATGGGCAATTGAGGCACCCACATGCCAAGACGACCCTCTCGTGTGGGCAAATGCATCCACTTACAAGGTTTTCTCCCTTTGCTCGTTCGCGTTTCACGTTACGCCCTTGCCTCAAACTGGAAGACTGGTTTCAGAGATCTTGCAACTGCTGAGTGCTCAGTTGAGGCCGTTGGAATCAGATGGATTTTTCCTTGCAAGAAAAGGTTTGTTGAGGATCCTGAACAAGTCCTGAACATTCTGTTCCGTAATCATCGCGAGACTCAGAGTTAAGTTTGATCTCAAGTCCTATAAAGAGATAGATCGATACATCTCCATCCTCAACGCCTGTCAACGCTATGGACGACTTTAGCACAAGATGCCCAGTGTTCTGCATAGCAGATATCCCTGCCTCTGTAACCGTTCACCGATCTCGGCGAGGTTCATGTTTGTGCTAACCTTCTCTTTAGACGTTGAACCTTCTCTTGGAATGCTCGGAAGAATATATGCGAGAAGTCGAAGGCGACGATTTAGACATATCCAAGGACATCGTGATCATAAACACCAAAGAGATTTCCAGTATCTCGAAAGGATCGTCTCTTCCTGTTGACTCATCTCCCACTGTCTTTGTGGGGCATACTGTCCAAGAGATCAGGCATTGGTTCGATGCCAATATCGCCCAGCCCGAACGCAAAGGATTCATGCCACACTGCTTCTTGGTGCTTGACGCGCAAAGCATTGAGGATGAAAGCTGTCTTTTCGTGTGCACGCTGGACGGCCGCATGCAATCCCTGCGCTGCGACTTTGACGTAGCTCTGCAGAGCGCAGTGCTCTGCGACGTTAGGTATGAATCGATTGAAGACAGCGGGATGGCACGCTTCATGAGGAGTGGGGTGATTATGACGAAGGCAAATAGTAAGTAGCGGACCATGGAGGACTGTATATTGAAGGGGGCGAGGTCAACTGAGCGTTCGGGTCGTATACTCATCGGACCGGTCAATACAGGGTCGATGGCGTAGCTGGTTATCGCATCTGTCTAACACGTCACACCACAGAAGGTCCTCAGTTCGAACCTGGGTCGACTCAATTTATTTTTGGCCTTCTTCGCGT